TTTGATTACAGTTATGCTCAAGGCTGGGAACAGGTTATCATCATTAATTATTGTAAATTAACAGTTTTTCTACGTACTCCATTCCTGACATATATAGAAATTAATAAGGCGATAATGAGGTTAAACGTCAATCGTACAGTCTACCGCAGTAAACGTCTAAGATAGAATTTCTGTTGCTATACAATAGAAAGCATCCACGATGAAGATTCTACGAAGAAAGAAATATCTACTGGAGTCAATTCGGCGTGGCTTATTCCAGCGTCTAGTTTTCTAAATTTGACTAACTAGAAAAAAAGTCGTTATATTTAGTAGGCTCTAGTCGCAAGAAACTAGATTTAGTCGGTCCGCCGCCACCGTTCAAAAGTTACAAGGGTGTTTTTACTGTCCACGCTGAAATAAGCTTATTTCAGCAACACCATTTTCTCTCAATCTCGAGAACCACAGCAACTAATCTGATTGCTCCCAGAATAAGTCGTAAATTGGTCGGTTCTAATCGCGAAATTTTAGAATTAGTCGCTCCTATATAAGCGTGAACAGTAAAACACCCTTGCAACTTTTGACTGCCGGACCGACTAAAATAACCGCGACGTTTTATCGTAGACTTTCTTTGCATTTTTTTCTAGATTTGTATACTTTGTAAAACGTATTTAGATATTGCTAACAAGGCGATAATTATTAGGAGTCCAATGATGTGAGATTTTTTGTTTCCCATTGAGTCGACTGTCTTTTTACCGTTATACTAGCAAGCGCACGGATGTTGCAGTTTCCGATGCGAGATTCTTGATCAATCAACAAATGGACACGCTTATCAAATTGCCATCAAAAGCGATATTGCGTCCTAGACTTTCTATGCATTTTTTTCTAGACTTACATACTTTAGTACAACGTATTTTGAAATATTCCGAACAATAAGAGTCCAATGATGCGTTTTTTTATATCCCAATGACTATCAACCGCCACGGATGTTGCAGGTTCCGTTGCGAGATACTCGATCAATCAATAAATTAACACAAACATTAATAAACCTCCAGTTAGTACTTTAGTAGCAGTAGAGTTCCTTGTGAAAGAGTACGTCCAGGGTAGTACTGCCACCTTACCTATTTCTGCCGCCAACCAGTAATGTCAGCATTACGGTGTTCCGGTTTTGGAGGGTAAGGGTGCTGGTGAAATTACAAGCACATGGGGCTTGTCAACTTATGTCTCAGGGTGACAGGCGTAGTGGCAGTATCCTTCACATCTTTGAGATTTAAACCTCTGAGTGGCAATGCAACTGTTGTGGACAGGCGTGTAGTTTACCATCAGGTGCATACTTGTTTGTCCCGTCACTTGATATTGTAAAAAAATATATATCTAACCTGCCAATAATTTATGACATTCAAGCAAAAATATATAATTTTTAAAATCATACTTCCTGAGAATTAATAAAATTAAGGAATTTAAAATAAATCATCCTTACAAAAGTTGATGATTTTACCGACTCTATGAGACGTGATCATGTGTACGTTTGAAAAAACAAATATTCGCCATTTATATCTGAAATGTTAATAACACATATCGACCTCAAAAGTTCGTGGAATTACGTCTAGATATGCCAAGTTTTAATGCAATCGGTTACCGGAAATTGCGGAAAGCCGGATACATCCCCTAGTTTGCCACCCTTAGAGGTGCAATATTCTCTTCAAATTTAAATGGTAACAATACTTAGGTACCCTTTCTCCAACGTAAATCGAATCATCAAAATCGGTTCACAAAAAAATACCGTTGAATTGAGACCCTCCTCCTCTTTTCAAGTCGGTTAAAAAATGGTTTCATTTCCTATGTGTAACAATCGCGAACACCTAAGAACTGAGTAATTTTCAGATTACTTAATTTCGGTAGCAATTTTTAATATTTAAGTATTCAAGTATATTACCATGAAATGTTAAATAATGCTTCATGATATACTTAATAATTCTAGAATATTTGAATAAAAACCGTTTTATTTGTTTAAAATGTCGTGTCCATAAATAGTCTATGCCTACATGAATAACTTAAGTTTACAGTGTTGTCTCATTGTTAACCCGTTTATACGCCCCACTGCTGAGCACGAGTCTCCTCTCTGGCGAAGTCTAAGGTCATAGTCCACCACGATAGCTCTCAATTCGCCTGTGTGTTTTTTTTTTTGTTTTTGTTCGTATATTATGTTTGTGAACTGATTTTGATGATTTTTTTTTGTTTCAATAAAATTTTGCAAATTAATGTAATTCCACGAAATTTTAAGGTCAGTTGTTGTAGTTCTCTGTACTGAGATTATCAACCTTATAATTTCTTCAGATATTCCGTATTTATAAACAACACAGAAACAAAATTTGTCTACTAACCTTACAATTGAACTTTGTATTTTAACTATGTGTTCAGAAAGTTTGAAACTTTGCTCTAGCTAACTAGATATTTTCACTAAGAAAGAAAGCAAACAATTCCACAAAGGACGCCTACAAAACACGAGGAATGTGAAACGATGAACACGAAGAGTGTTTGGGCAACAATGACTTGATTGACATGGAACACGGTGCGCGAAGTGTATTTTACCACGGTCTTTTCACTTATTGGGTAACAGAGACAAAGGCCCAATTTTGCGGCAAACTCCGTGCTTATTTATCGTTGTAGAATCTCCACTATACTTACGTAAGAAAAGCCCTTCACTTAAAAGCTTCCGCGAAGCTTAGTACACCATGCAGGCAGCAACAAATCATTTGCGAAATGGGGGACAATTTTTATATCACTCGATTAATTTTAAATGAGTATAATTAATCAGTAAAAACTTTAAAACTACTGCCTCATTTAATAAATAGTTATTATCGGCGTGTGGATTACGAAACGTGTTAGAGTGATGCCACACGGGCGTTGCGTCGTCGTAGCAACGCTATAATTTCAACGCGCCGTGTGCCATACAAGCGGTGCGGTGCGCATGGCAACGTAACGCCGCTTACATTCGCACCGCAGCACCTTCGCTCCTTGCTTCTTCTCCTGCCCCCTTGCCCGATTCGCATGCGTTGCGATTTCGCAACGCACCGGCAGCGGTAGCGCCCGCGTGCATATAGATCTAATTCGTATACAGCACAACGCAGCGTCACCGCTCAGACGTGGCAAAGCCGACGCAACGCTTCGTGTGTCATCGCTCTTATTGTGAAGAAGACGTTTACGACTTCGTGCCCATGCACCGGCAGTTAACTATACGTTTCCTTCTACATTAAAATGTGTTATAAGTGATGGCTCATTAAACTCATACGCTCAATTGGTATTCCACTGACGCAATTGTATTTCTTGCAATGTTACAGGAAATATGTTTGAATTGGTTTTTAATTTTATTTCAAATTAATTATGACGTGTAAAAAATAATTCCAATATATGTATATATGTTTAAAATTACTGCCGACTTTCTCTTCAAACTTAAACACTTTTTATGTTACAGATGTGTTGTAATATACTTCATTCAATTTTGCCTAAATTACAATTAAGTCAATGTTGCATCAAATGAGCGATAAGCTACAGTTTATTCAATTCAAATTTTAAAGTGGGTCATTTTTGATTTATGGTTTTAATATAGAACGATTCGATACATTACCTGTCATTTAATAGGTAAAATATTATAAAATGCAACGAATAACGACAAAACATGTCTAAAAATTATTTAAAAAACAAAACCCCGACTGCAAAAATATTTAGCTAGAAAGGGAAAATAGCTGAACCCCCCTCACTATTTTGTTTATTTTTTATAGCCTATGACACTCCCATAATCAAGACGAATCTAACGACAACTCATAAATATGAAACTGCAACAAACCGTTTAGGCTGTACATGGAAACAGAGAAATGGACATACATAATCTTGAAAAACATAACCACTAAGAACTTTAAATTTCATGTCACTGCGCCATTATTGCGCCCGATACCCTGGGACATTATTCATTTCGTTCATTTCGAAGCACATTTTACTGCTTGGCGGTAGAAAAAAGGTACGGTGGTAGTACTACCCTGGTACAACTCTTTCACAAGGTGCTCTACTACAACTACAAACCGTGAAATAAGTAATATTTGACTAAATTAAATTGCAAAGTCAAGTACGAAGCTTCATTCGCATCAGGCGTCTTTTAATTGTGGCCCAGTAGACCCCCAGGGGTTAAATGTAGTCTTCGGAACTTCAGAGCCGTAAACGCGGCCAGTCGGGGGTTGACGCTACTGTTACATACAGGCGTCGACGCGGTCATCGTCGGCTGCTTGCAAACTCTAAGGGAAATAAGCTGACGCAGAAAACAAATAAACTAACTGATTTAATGTAACTCTGTGTTGATAAGTGGGGTGACTCCCTTATCAAGGAAACGAATGACAGAGTCAACATAAAAAAGCGTCTCTAGCTTGCTACCGAAAATATGTAACTAACGAGTGGTGCAAGAGTGGTTCTCTGGATGTTCGTAACTGACCTCTGTAATCACCATTAACTTTTCTTTTCGTCTAAGCTACATAAAAGTAAGTAAAATTTCAGCGGCAAGTTGTAGTTAAAATACGCTTGTGTATAGATATTATATTTATTATATGTTTGAGCGAAAAGCGAAAACTTTCCTTGCTATATTGAATGGAAACGCCTGTTATGATTTTAGAGCAACTCTGCAAATTGCACGAATGTATCTTTGATATAAATATTTTCACAGGCGGGCGATGTATCTATTCGAGAAAAGGATAAAAGATCAGTTTTGAATTAATTTATTAAGGATCTCTTTTCTTACACTTCGACTAAAGTTCGTATAAAATGCATGATTACCTGCCATTATCGTCGCGTCCCGTGTATAACTGGCGATAATCCAGACAGACTATCACAGCTATATACAGCAGTTAAATAACATACTTACACAGCAACAGTGATTGGCCACCATCTCACTCGGTTTACATACAAGTGTAAAAGACATATAGTTCACGAGCATCTATACACTACCTTAAAATAGTATTCACTTATACACCTATATACAGTTCATGATCAGATTTTGTCACCATATTTAAGGTTTCCTCGGCCACTTGTATCGGTGAGGTAGTCATGCTTATTGCCGTGCCGCATCGGGTGTCGAGCCGCCAAGCGCTGCTCGTCTCTGAAGTCCGCCAATAAGTACCTGTGTCTACGGTGCCCAGGGCTTTTCTCTCTACGCTTCTTATTCGGTTTTTGCATTAAGTTTGGTTCTGGTGTAATGGCGTCAGTACTTTGTATTTTAAAGTAATGCACAAGTGGTTGACTAGTTGTAGTGTTTAAAACAGCAGACTCAGTTGCAGCGATTGTCGTTTCAGGTGGTGCAGCGTAGATCTCGTTATTGTTCGACGCCTCAGGCTGACCTCCATGGAAAGCTTTCAACGCCATTACCGTGTAGTAGGGGTGGGCCGGCGACGTCTCTCTAATAGTATACGGGGTGGGAGAAATTGAATCCGTGTTGAAGTCAAAGCTGTTTTGCAGGTGCTCCAGCGCCGTAGGCTCCTCGTTCTCAGTTGGTACAATAGCAGAACCTATGTGATCAACGTACGTTTGAAGATCTTGTCCCCCAAAGCTAATGTTCTGTGTCGATACAGACTTCTTTTCTTTTGGTTGGTAAGTCATTGCGGAATCATTTTTATCTTCAGAGGTGTGAATGTTCGAGGAAGCGGCATATGTGTCGTAATCGATATCACTACTATAAGAGTCCTTAAAATCGCTGAAGCTATCTCTGAATTTCGAAAATCCCGTTGGCGCAGGACCGTAATGCTTAGGTTCGTATTCATGAACGACAGTGCTCGACACGGCGAAAGGTGATGGCACACTAGCTTGGAAGTTAGGTATTATCTGTTTTCCATATGGACGGTTTTTATACTTTTTCTTACCTTCCTTGAAGCGGATTGAGGGAAGGGGCCGGAACTCGTTTAGGTCGCCTTCAGACGAAACGGTATATGGCGTGGGTTTTTGCAACTTTTTCGGTATTAAGCCAGGCGTGTTATATAGGTTTTCATAATAAGAAAAATCATTTGTTGGCTTTGTTGGTTTGCTATACAGACGATGTTTGTTTGGGGCTCTCTTGGAAGTAGATATTGGCAATCCCAAACTATTGTAGGAAATCTTCGGCGGCAGACGCAAAGTTTCTTTAGTTACTTCTATATTGGAAGGTATTTCACCATGATCGTGAAAAATATGGTCATGTGTGACGTCGTGAGGACTATATGCTGCATATTCCAAATGAGATGGTGTCCCCATAGACCCTACGACTGCTAAATCTGCGAAATTGTTAGATGGGACGGCAACCAAAGTCTGTGAGTTTTTGAGAGGAATCAGCGGGTGGGAAGCGCTGAGAGCAGACATACTACCATCTGGATCGACACCGACGATGCCGGTAACTTTGGAATCATCGTCGAATACTACTTTGTGAATGTGTTCTTCGCTATATGTATGAATATGTTCGGTATCACCGTCGACAATTTTTTCTATTCGTGGTGGTTTCTTAATTTTGCTTATTGTGCCAGCTTCTTCTAAATCCGAGTAGAACTGCTCGTGGTATGTTGAGACCGGATGCTCTTCTTCTGTAGGAGGCGGTGGCGGTGTCTGATGCGGCTGCTGTTTAGTACGGACTATTACTCTCTTTGGCTTTTTCCGAATCACTTTTTTTCGAGGTAATTCATTCACCTTCACATATTTGATTCTTTTCGGATGGTTAGATACGGAAGCGACCGCATTAGATTGCGGCGGAGCCGAGTAGCCGGAAGGTGCATAAATATCTTTGTGCTCTCGCGGCGATTCCACGTCGTATTCCTGGTCTTCCCATTCTTGGTGTTCAGGCCCGTAGCGACCGCGGGCACGATACAAGGGAAGCAGTTTGGAAGCAGCCGGCGAGATTTGTGGAAGCCCCGGGTGGCCGTCTTCGTACAGCTGAACTGAATTAAAAGGTAGGATTCCAGTCACTGTAGGCTTCGGAAAGTTTGATGGCTGCGCCACCCCCCCTTTAACTCCCGTTAGGAACGCGGGCGCATATTGCGATGGTGCAGGGTGGTTCGTTATGTAAATTTTCTTATGATGGTGTATGTGCTTCACCTTTTGCGGTAGATGTATTCGAATTTTTTTCCTGAAACAAAAAATAAACTGTTGAGTGTCGGTATTCGAGGCTGAGCGGTTATCGCCCGCACGCTCTATTGCATGGTCGATATTTTTTGCGAATGCGGCGTTTCCGCCTGATGTGAATGACTTGGTCGGCTTTCCCTCTCGGCGGCAGCGGCGCCGCACGCGCGGCGATGTCGCGGATGCCCGCACCGCCGCTGCCGCCACGGCCGCGGCCGTCACACCACACACGAATCACATGATATACAACGCAATTCCGAAATACACACTCGTTTGTTTTATGACGGCTCATTAGTATCGTTGTCCGTCGGGTAGACTTGCACTTTCTACGGTGCAGGGATTCATTACGCGGCTGAGTGGTCTGGTTTAATGTTCAATCAATTAAAGCAGAGCAATTAGTAACAATCGCCGGCACAGTGACATTCACAGTATCATAGTTTCCTTCGCTCGGCTGCGAACAATTAAATCACTTTCGCGTAAGAAGGTTCAATGTCTCGCCTATTCGATTATTTAGGCGCAAAAAACGCGTACGGAGAAAAGCGTTTTGCCCAAAGGTTACTTACTTTCTACGAAATGTCAAAACATATCTACATGATGGAATCACAAGATTAAAATCATCCGTGAACACAAATCTATAGATGAAAGATATTCGCAAGCAATGTTCAGCTTTTCACAAAGTTTCAGCCAAACATAGTAATTATTACTTTTGAAAAGTGACAAAAAAACTTGCTTAAGCCCAATTTGGCTACAACTTTAGTCTGAGATGTCGTAATTAAGTTACTAAACTTACTTAGGCCCATCTGCCGTGATTTGTACGGAAGCAACAGCAACCAGAAGAGCGAACTGTAACAAATTGAAAAATAAATTCAATTCGATTGATTAGGTGCAGATTAACGTTTTTTTTTATATAGTGCATAGCTACTATATTATAATTATAACATAACGCAGTCATCTATAGACATTGACTTACAAATAAATGGACGACGGGTCTAATACAAAAACCACGAAAAAAATGTCCCAAGTCAACCTATTTGAAATTTAAATTGTAATGTCATCGCAGTATCGCGCTGTCAGTCGAACAAATGAAGACTAAAGCGGAGTTTGGCGCTCTGTATACGATTTTAGCGCCTTACAAGTGCGGACACTTTTTAGCGCGGACCCGACGTCCATATAATTGTAAGTCAATGTCTATAGATCAATAAATTACCACGGACTTTTCAAAAATATGGTTAAGGTTAGTAAAATAAATATATAAAAAAGTATTTTTTTTGGTGGCACTACTTCTTAATTCCTTTTATTCCTCGAGATAAATATTTATGCTACTAGATTCGAATATTACCCCGTTGCTTTATTACAACAGAGTTTCAAATTACAATCAAATCGATGCCAGGAAACAGGGAAAAAGGGAGCGACAACAGTTATGACAAACATGATAGATTTACACACTAATCAGATTCTAACTAGTACATCTAATTTATGTCCCCTTGCTCTAAGTTTAAGTATGTCTTAAACCAATGCTTAAACTAATGAAACACTCCTAATACAATGTAATAAGATTGTCTTTACAAGTATTGTTTAAGATGTACTTAAGTTTAGGGCAAGTGGACATTAGTTTATTCAAGTGTTAGAACTGCCAAACAAATACATACGTCTCGTCTACAGACACCCCAATAACAAAAACTACAACAACACAGAACTTCTAAATTGGGACGAAATTATCAAAAAAATACTTCTAACCCAGCAGGGCTTAGAGGTGGGCATAAAGTTTATTGAAGAATAAATTGTGTGAAACTGTACTCCGTGTCTGTTGTTCTTTTAAAACGTTTTGATTAATTCCATAAAATTAAGTTACCTACATATTATCATTACGTGACAAGTATTACGTGTTTTATAGCGTTTTCGCAAAATTGTTAAAGAAAATACATACGTAAATTTTGCCGAAGTTCGTAAAATGAGTGACGTCATTTTTAAGAAATATCGAGCGTATTTTTACTAAGATACGACTTGGACTATACAACGAAGCGAATACGATACTCCCGTTTGCTACTAAAGGATACGTCTAAATGAAAGTAGCATATCTCTGTTTAACGTTGTGGTGTTGTTGTAGCCGCCAACCCATCTATCAAGTAACGATTCTTTTAGGATAAAGAAATCCTCCTCCTATAACAATGCCATAAGGTCTGGAGATACTCGTTAAGTGAATAAATTAGGCTGAATCATGGTCTCTATAGAATAAGATGTTTAAATATGTAAGACGACTGACTGTTCTATTATTCATTTGTAACAACAACAACAACAATTATCTGGAATATGTTATTAATTGAATGGAAATAAACAATCTATTGTTTTCTATTGACCATTGAAGGTGAAAAGCGGTGAAAATATAATTAATACTATAGTCATTATTATGAATTATGGACAATTAAACATTCGTGCACACGCTTATTTTGATAACTCGTGAGTGTTTCATACTCACAAGCTTCTTTAAAACGCAAAATTTGTCATTATTATCACATAAGATAAAGGCGATGAGCACAAGTTGCTGCAATTCAGTTGCAGTCCGCATGCAGTGCCAAATATTGAAATCAGAGAAGTTATTAATTCAAACATTAGGCGGTACGTATTTTTACCGTAACGTCATTTTCGCAATCAAGAACCACTAAACAAGACACGTTGATTTTGTCTCTTGCAGAGTACAATATACTTGTTGCCTGCTACATTTTAATATTGACTATAGTTCCTTTTTTATGATACTACATGACGAGACGAACAAGTCGTGCGTCTGATGGTATTCGACACGTCTGTCGATAGCAGTTGCAGTGCAGCACAGAGCTGTAAATCGCAAAGATCTGAGGGGCACTGCCACTTTGCCGGCCACACAGAGACATATGTAGATAAGTCCCATGTGTCTGTAATTTCACCTGCACCCTTACCTTTCAAACGGGAACGCAGTTATGCTACGTTACCGCTTGGCGGCAGAAATAGGTAAGGTGGCAGTAATTCCCTGGACGAATTCTTTCACAAGAAGCTCTAGAGCGTACGTTGTTAACACCTACGTAAATCTACGTAGGTGTTAACAACCAACAAATAAAGTTTACTGTATATAGTACATTTAAATAAAAACTGTCTTTGAAGTTCGCTGTGAAGCTGCTTATGAAGAAAGCGCTTTTGTAACTTGTAAAAACAATTTTTGAACATCACTATAAACGCCGTTATTGAAGCTCCCTGTATATAACGTTTCTGGAGATTGCTTGTAATGTAAAAAGTGTAAATTGTAAAAAACCTTTTTCAACTCAAATTGCAAACCCATTTTTAGAACTTACTGTAAGATATAGGCTAAACAAAGTAGGTTATTAACACATAAATTTTATAATCACTTTTTAAGTATACACTAAACTTCGAAGTACGTACAATGATTATTTTATGAAAACAATAAGTGTATCATAAATGGTTTCAATAGTACTTTGGCGTATGAAAGCATCCAGGATTCCAGAAATCTTTGACCAAACAAAGAAATTTTCATCTCGCCGTGTGGATTTGGGACTTCGTTATAGCTCAGTAGATTTTTTTTGTTGATTTTGCAGTGAATGTATCTGGCAATTACGACCAATATACACTTACCCAAATGTTGAATGACGGGTGCCCTATCTGTTGCTTCTTAAAGCACTATGAGCGGCTAGTATTTCTTTAACTGCGACTTTCTAAGGTTTTATTAAAAGGTAATAAGTGGTTTTGTACTCTTGCAGCACTATTTTTGGCCTACACACCCAGTATTACTTTAATTTATGGGTATTAGTTCGAAGAAACTTTCTTGGAGGACAAAGTTTACGATTGGCTATGGTGGGTAAGAATTGCTTACGTCATTGTTTTATATTTACTATTGCGGTTTACTGCCCGACTTCTGATTTGTCCTCCATGGCGGTTGTGATATTGACGACTTTCTTTTCTTCCAATGTCATTCCTTCGATTTTATATTTTTTGTGTAAACACGAGATTTCTGTGAGTGAATATCACATTTGCCAGCAAAGGAAAACAAGCACAGAAGGCGTCAAAGGACTTTTACGAACAAATTGGTAAAGTGTAACCGATGTAATCGGTCAAGTGATTAACTCAGTTTTATGCACTAATCATTAATTAACAAAACATATTGAAAGTCTTATAAATTTCATAAATTCCTTACATTGCGTAGCCACAGATTGAGAAGTATAAAACAAGCGTGCTGAGGTTTTAAGGGAAAGTAATTGGTATAGCAGTCGCATCAGAATAATTTCATATTTATCGAATGCATCTATTGACCGACTGCATACTCGTAATCATTAATTAAACTGCTGTAAAACGTAAAACCAACGCGACAAATAATTCAGACAATTACCGAAATAAGTGGTGTATTATTGCGGTCTGTCACGACTGGCAAATTAATTTTTGGTTTTTCAAATTCTAAACGCAAGTATCAAACCGTGGCTCCGCACCGTACACCCAACATTCTTTAACACTCCATTCATCCCGTTTGAACAAACACTTCACAAATATTTGTCTCACAACACTATCACACACACGTTTCGTGATACCGACCAATTTCAGCCAATCCATTGCCGCTTGCTGTTGACGGTCCGGATGAAGCTTCACACTTTCCGTGTTATCATAAAAAAAGCACCGGTCGAAACTGCACTAGAGTCGGGACTCGTATGATAATTGGCTCAGTACGCTTGATTATTTATAACATTCAATTTCACGGCTGAAAGAGCCCAGTGTGTGTGGTGGTACACTATGCGACAGCACTGTCTGCGAACAACGACTGGCAGTAGTAGGAGTGCGTAAAAATTTTCATTGTCACTTCTAGTACAATGTTTGTTTTGCTAAAACATCTTTTGTTGCTTCTGTATCACGCGTGATGTGATATGTATTATTCACTCTCCTGATCGTAAATAACAACGAAGTATATTTTGCTATTGATGCTATGTCAACAATTTGTTGTTGTTGCTATAATATTTTTTCAATAGCAACGATAATATCTAACATTTGGATAAGTGAGATTTTACTTAAATATTAGCCCAAGTTTCGCAAGTAATTAGCACTTTATGCTAGAGTTGATTGTCGTCATCAGTTAACTTAGAATTTGAAGTTAAAATTTCTATTTATTATTATAGACAATAGGCGTCTGTAGTAAGTTTTTTATTGGTGTTTTTGTATTGGTCCATTTATTGCAATCTAGGCATTGACTTACAATTATATGGACGTCGGGTTCGCGCTAAAAAGTGTCCGAACTTATAGGGCGTTAAAATCGTATACAGAGCGTCATTCACGCTTTAGTCTTCGTTTGTTCGACTGACAGCGAAGCAAGCAAAATTAGACAGTATTGCGATGACATTACAATTTAAATTCAACGTTTTAGCTTTTTCATATTCCTTTACATGTCACTACGTTTAAATAGGTTGACTTGGGACACTTTTTTTCATGGTTTTTGTATTAGACCCGACATTTGTAGTAGAATCTAGGGTACAAAATTAGTTAAAAGTATTTTAGGAATTGAAGAAAATCGGACAGTCCTTATCGTGAGCGACCCTATGGTGAATTAAAAATATTAAGTGTCATCTTTGACGTGCTCTTGACTTAGAACAATTAAACTTTCCATAGGTAGTGTAACAGCGCACACACCTTTATATTTCACAGTTCTTTCATGAATTGTTTTTGTTTCAAAAATAATGTTACTTACATTTGTAAAACTAAGCGAATTAAGACGACAAACGTCGTGTCAAGTCAAGCTACATACACATTCAAACTCGTGATAAAAGATTCGAATTAATTTAAGGGAAACAAGACCGTATCGTATCGTTCTTTGAAATACTAAAGGACATACAAATCAATTATTTACAAATACTACTTAGAATATAAAATTCAGATTCGAAAAAAAAAATCAATTCACAGTAATTATTTCATAAGCATAAAGCTTTTTTACAAAACATAAACTCATTTGAATTAGAATGAAGGAAGGGAATTTCAACAAGAAAACATTGACAGTGTAAAATAAGTCATTAACGAGTGATTATAAATATATGTCAGGGAAGTGAGAACAAAGGTGCGCGGGAGATTAATTCTATACAAAGAAATGGCCGCGGCGATGGGCGGGCGTGTTGCGTGCTCGAGCGCCGGCCGCGGGCACGCACGCCTCGTGTCCGCATTATAACACCGTAGAGATGCCCCCAGAACGCTTGGCGTGTAAACAATACTTACTTGAAAGATGTGACGTCGGTTTATAAATCAGTCAAACCTCCAATGAACACTACGTCAACTTAATAGGTTCAAAACTTCTGTTTTTATTGGGTTTTTTGTCTTTTTTTTTCATAAAACTCATTTCTTTTTGTTTTCCTTCGAATGTGGTTTCTTGTTTCTTTTTTTTCCCACATAATTCGGGAAGATAATATTAGTAAATAAATATGGCTGTTTACAAAAATAACAGAAGACGATCAAAAAATAAAGTTTTCGTAGCGTTAATTGGAGGTATCGAAATATAGACCATAGTTAACAATATTTAAGGACGTTCGAAGGTGAAACTCGTTCCTAGATAGCAACAACCTTTACCGCAATACTGAACAACAGAATATGGCAGAGTATCTCAAAAACTAACTACGGGCTTTACTGTGCGATTTCTACGCGCGTTCTGTGTACTTGACAGTCGTACTGGCAGTGCTCTCAGATCTTCGCGATTTAAAGCTCTGAGTGGCACTGTAATTGTTATGGATAGACGAGTAGCTAACCATCAGACGCACGGCTTGTTCTTCCCGTCTTTTGATATTACTAAATAAATAAAATATAAATATCAGTCACGATAACGGGCCTCTCTATTACCACAATCGTATAAGCGGCGAACTACATATTTGTTTTGGAGGAAGTCGCACGCTCATCGCAGCGATCACTCAATCATAAAATTTACGGGAATCAGCACCGATTAGCGTTACGTGCTACGATTCAGATGTACACAACTTTTCGGTAATCCCGATGGCTGAGTGATCCTTCCGGAACTCAATTTTTGTTACAATTCCAACTAAGTTTTTTTTTTTTGGGTATTTGGCTTCTGTCCCACTGAGGACAATTCTGCCAGTGTCCGGGTTGAAAGATACACGGTACATTTATCAAGATTCACTCAAACGACGATGATCGGTTGCACCATCCTATGGACAAAGACAAAACACGGGGTTATTTGACTAGCTACTTTGGATGAAAAGCGTAAACACATGCTGTGCACATAGTAAAAGTTATAACCGTATGTTATTTTGTTCAATATATTTAAATAGAGTAAATAGTAGAGGAGGTTTTAGGGGAGAAAGAATACTATAAAAATTTGTGGGACGAGGGATACAATCTGGAAGAAGATCGTATAAAGAGACGGGATATAATGCACAGTTAAAAAATATATGGTCAAGAGTTCCTTCTTCAAGACCGCACTCACAAAGGGAGTGATCTCTAAGTTTATTCAATTGTAGAAAGACACGTTTACAAACTAAACAACATCTACTGGCAGTCACTTTTAGACATGTACCTACCTATGTTACCAAGTGAAAAAATTAGCAGAGATATGAAATATGCAGAATACATATAGATGCTTCGGGGAAGAAAGGACGTAGAGGACAAAGTAAAAAATTTACAAGCCGTATGAAAAACAATGTTTCATTTTGTTTGTTTCATATTTCATTTTGTTTGTTTCATATTTTTAGAGTAAGTTAATTAAAAATTTTTTTTAAAGTAGTTCAATTAAAAAGAACTTATGGGCTAACTATGCTAGTGTCCTAATCGATGCTAGATTATGGAATGAATGTTTGACGAGCTTGATTTGGCAATCGTGCTCGTTCGCATCACGTTCGGCAGCGTAGGCGCCTCGTGTAACTTGTGGATGTTTTCTATCAGAATGGGGTGATTGCAAAGTAGGCGATCTTCATAGCGGAGAAAGCCTAACACATTTTTATTTTCTATATTTACGTAAATAAATGCTTATTTGTTATGCAAGCCTGAAAATTTGCTGTATGACGCGAGTGCTTGTATTGAAACCTAAGCAAGCGTGAACCACGACGCTTCGTGTATCAAAAATAGAGTCCGAAGAGAGTAGCGAAGGTTTCAAGTCACGATACGCAAAACAACTTTGCTGCCGAGCGAAACGTAGAATTTTTCACCTCACTATAGCGAGAAAAATGGTAGATGAAAACAGTCAAACATCAATTTTTATGTAAAAAAAATGTTTACCCTCGGATGCATTCTGAATTTGCTACGCAATTTTTATTCCCGCTTGTACTTATAATTTTGTATTAATAAGTGATTATTTAAATTATTTTAGTTCTTCTACGAATCAAAATAATTTAATAATCACTATGTTAACTATCGTTAGATAGATAGATAGATAAACACTTTATTGCTCACACACAAGAACAAGAATAGTACATAAACAACTTAAAACTAATGTGGGCAAAGGCGGTCTTATCGCTAAGAGCGATCTCTTCCAGACAACCTTAGAGTTATAGGAAAGCTAATCGGAGCGGGAGACGTAGTGTGCCAATTTTACAATTATAAAAATAAAAATATAAAAAAAAATTGTATAAATTAAAAAAAAATACAAAATAATAAAATTAAATGAAGACACATAGTAAATTAAAAAAAAAGTTTATAAAATATTTAAAAAATAATGATATATTATACCTACGTAGATATATAAATATACCTAAATAAACTTATACTTACTAATAACTTATACTTACTAATACACACGTTGCAGACTAGGACTGTGATAATAGTTATTTGTTCAACAAGAGAGCAAAGTCGTTTTTTGGTGCGAGTGCTGTTTTTGAGTCCTGAGCAAGCGAAAGGTTCTATAGTTGAATCACGAGCGTAGCGAGTGATTCAGAATTAGAATCTTGAGCGAAGCGAGGGACTCAAAAATACGAGCTGCAAAATAACTTTGCTCTCGCGTGATACATACAACTTTTCACCTCAGCAGCCGGCCGATCTTTTCAAAAACGCAATCAGCTTTGCGTAAGTGTTTATATGGACGTTATTTTTAGTTTGTAATGTAGCTTTCAACATCGAATATATACTCCACATCGTTGACGGCTGTTTTGTATGCGACATTTCAATGAAATAAGACAGAAGCACAGTTTCCGACATAGTGTTTCCTGCGCCCTTTTCGTGCCTCCATTTGTCAAAATGTTCGTAGACTTTCAGGTACTTTTCACGAGATTTACTAGGCAAGAAACTTAGTTCAGCATTTTTAACAGTTTCAACTAACTCTGGAGGAGTTAAAAAATTGTCGTCTTCACTGGAATCGCTCATATTTTCTATTTTATTACGTAGGTAGGTATCCAATTAACTATCAAAGAAGTACCTATCGCAAGCAAATAAGAAATTTTGAATTAAAAAAAAAAGAAAGCGCGCTTTTATTTATTGCGTTCCGGAACGTTCTCGCTTGTATTCATTGAAATCACACATTGTAAATATTGTTATCTTTAATTGACGTTATAAATTTAGCATATTTTTATTGCAACACTTGCTTTATTTTTAATGAAAATTGTAAAAACTAAATTATCATAGTATAAAATCGTATTTGTATTTCTCACATAATTTATCTTTTAGATGAATTGACGAGTTTCCGAACGTGCACTCGTTCAGCCATTTTGTGGGGGTCTACTATGTAGCTTAAATATCGAAGTACGAATAA